TGGAGAGAAGACACTTCCTATCATCAACAGTTGACCTGCAGCAGGTTAAGAGAAGACACTTCCTATCATCAACAGTTGCATCAACCATCTCGAACTCCTTCATGGGAAATAAACAGTAATATATTAAATATAGGAAATAAGGACGATCTCGCCGGATCAAGACAGATTTGGATAATATATTTTTCAGCATAAAATTCCCATCCATTTCAACGTATTTAGAAATCTCTATGACAATTTTGAAAACGTGACCCGCATTTTTTTTTTTTTTGCCTTCCTAAATTTATTTATTTACAAAAATTCTCCAAAGATGATGTAAAGGCAACCAAGTTAATTTTGTTCTATGACCCCATTAAAAGAGAAAACAACAACAAAATCTTGGGATAGAACATTACTGGGTTTAGTACTGATTACTAAGGAACGTCAAATGGACTAATGTATCAAATTGCTTTATATATATAACTTCCCACTTCCAGCATGAGCTGCGGTTAAACTTTTGGGTCATCTCTTCGATTTTCGTGTCATACTAGTAACGCATTATCTTCCTAAAAGCTGCCAGTTTTTTTTCGGCTGAGCATACTTAAAGTTTCAGCTCATTTTACATGGGTAAACTGATAAATAAACCCGTCTCAGACTTCATGCTGCCCTAATTCTGTTCATGCTAGACTACTGAGACCAAATATATTACTTGGTCTTGTCCAGCTGCTTGAAATTTCAAGAAATTCTTTCCCGGTCGAGAGCTTGTATAAAGAAGCGAACGTCCCATTTTTCACAGGATCGATGTGATGCCCATTGCTTTCATTATTTCATTAGCTTCCACGCTTTCACTATCATTATCTGTGGCTTACCTACATATCTGGGGCCCTGAAACTTGAACTGTTATGGGGGCCCCTTCGCACCTACAACTGCTAGCCTACATGATACATCAATAGCCTGTTAATTTTTATTGTATTTTGTATTGAAATACACTATATTATAAATATTATTATTATTTTTTGAAACCCTCTTCTCATACAGTAGCCCCAAAACTTTTAAATGTGGACTAAAGAAGCTTCTGGGGCCCCTCCGGGATTAGAGACCTTGAAGCTTAAGCTTCATTAGTTTCAAAGTAGATCCGCCCCTGATTCTCATACGCACAGAATAATCACAGATCTTAGCAAGATTAATTTATTGGAACTTCAACCCCATTTATTATGGTTCATTAATCTCCGCATAGGAACATTGCTCCTTTATGTTCCTCCCTCGCGAAGTTCTAATGACTCACGGTTGCTGCTCCTACGGGTTTAGAGCTTTCCTTTCATTATAATAATAATAATAATAATAATAATAATAATAATAATAATAATAATAATAATAATAATAATAATAATAATAATAATAATAATAATAATCAACCTCCATGCCCGAAGGTAAACAAACTCTCTCTACCTTGAACAGTTTCGGTCACATCCTCATGTTATGGTGGTGTGAATCGACAGTTCCAAATCCTCTGATAGAGTAGGATACCCGACTGTTTTTCCAGCTAGAGTGATCCAAAAACATTTACTAAAATCGTCTAGTATTTTCAGAGTAGAGATATATGAAATACTCATTTCTTACACGCGCATTGCAACCATATCCACCTCATTCGTTATTGTTTCAGACTGTCAAAGCGTTTTACCAGCTTTTTAGAAATATGACTCACTCCATCCTATCGAACTTCATGTACAATAATGCTTATGACGAATTTCTAGCAAGTGAAAAGAATTTTTTTTTTTTTTTTTTTTTTGCTGAGTTCTTGGACATGCTAACATCCAGGGTAATAAACACACAGATTCAGCCACTTGGTCCGCTGTTCAGGATCTGTCAATTTTCCAGAGGTCATCTTTTTTCAGGCTACTTTTCACATTTTATCCTAGAGATTTCAAAATCACTGGGAACTGTACTGGTCTGAATAAGAGGACAACAAATTGTTTTCTGTTAAACTGCAGTTATAGTCCAGTCCATCTTCTTTCCATCACTCTCAGTTGGGAGAAACAGCGATTACGCATTTAATAATTGGCCACACATGACTCACATGGATACCAGTGGAAAAATGTCCGGCGCTTCTCTGCAAGGACTGACATGTAACTCTAACAATTCACCATATATTTGTAGACTGTCTTATCTGTCAGAAAGCTTGAAGAATTCACTTTTGACATGTTCAACCTTGATGCATTCATTCCAACTGTTCTCTTCACTGAAAATCCCACATTTCCTGCAGGCTTCCTTTATGATTTTTTTTAACAGAAACTAATATATTCCACCAACTACGATGTTAATTTTACATCACTAATCCTTAACTCCATTAACCCCAACCTTTACAACTTAAACCGTGTCATCACTGATTGTTGATCATACATTACTGGAATACCCTAGGGTTTACCTTATAAACTTTGATGTTTATTTTACAATCAAATGGGTGCCTGTGGGGAATCTTTTAGAGTGGATGACAAAATGATTTTTGAGGAATATGCACTCTGTCATCTTGTATTATTTTTTTTATATTTACTGTTTAGTTAACAATGATTATAGACTTGCTGAGTTTTTTAATTGTATACACTCATTAATCAGTATGAAAGTGAAGAACTGACTGATCGTGACTTATCACTGTACTGAACACTGAATAATCTTAAAGTTCTAGTGCCCTGCAGACAGTGCTATCCCATTCTTCCCTCCTCCTCCTCCTCCTCCTCCTCCTCCTCCTCCTCCTCCTCCTCTCCTCCTCCTCCTCCTCCTCCTCCTCCTCCTCTTCTTCTCTCCTAAGATATGTTCCAAACTCAACAAAAGGCTATTGTTTTTTTGTCGACGCCTGTGTTAGATGTTACAGCAGCCGGCCACAGTATTTTACAAAATCAAAATAATGTATGCAAATAAAAAAAAGTGCAACGTGTGTATGATACTTCCACAGTCTGGCACAATGGGTGTAAGATACAAACAAACAAAAAAAACAACAACACATATGTTAGATATGAAGGATGGTGACCATAATGACACGGTAATAATGTGGGTCTTTGCAATAGAGGTTTCGCAATAAAAACAAACTATATGAAGAAATCTCTTAACAACACACGGTACATGAAAGAGAAGATAAGATTTCGTTCGGATTTTTAACCCCGGTGCGTTAGCCACTCAGGAAACCCAAGAAAGTCAGTGCGTCATCAACGACTGTCTAATAACAAAAAAAGGCACAATACCGTGACTGGAACGATACACAAATAACCCGCACATAAAAGAGAGAAGCTTACGACGACGTTTCGGTCCGACTTGAACCATTTACAAAGTCAATTTTGAGGACTGTCTAACTTATTTCCATTATGGTCCTCAATCTTGTCCACCAGGATGCGACCCACACCAGTCGACTAACACCCAGGTACCTATTTGCTGCTAGGTGATCAGGACAACAGGTGTAAGGAAACGCGTCGAAATGTTTCCGCCCCGCCAGGAATCAAACTCGGGCCCTCCGATATATATTTGACCATAATTACGAACAAAGGTGTCAAATTAGAGACGCTGACCACATGAATAACCCACTAATTACAATTGCAGGTGCTGCATTACTATGCATCTGAGGAGAGGAAAACACGTGAGGACATGCCATGGGAAAGTACATAAAACATGGTCATACTCATCTTTTCTGTATCCATGTAGTTAGGGTTTCCCAGGCAGCCATCATCTCGCTCTCCTGCAGTTGTCGTGGTGTATCCTGACACATGAAACTCTTCTTCCCACCCCTCTTCATCTCAGACTACCTGGAGAGTGTTCCAGGGGTCAACACCCGGTTTTTGACCAGGCCTAGCGGTTGATCAGGGCCTGATCAACCAGGGTGCTACTGCTGGCCGCACGCAGTCCAGCATACGAACCACAGCTGATAGCTAGGTAATCCCCTAAATGATGATGGGAGGTATGTGAAGAGTCTTGGGACCCTGACACTTATTTATTTCTTGGTGTACTCACGGCACTCCTGTTTTACTTTTGGGGGATACTGCACCGTCTGTCCAGTCTTTTGCTATCGTAGAGAGCGATTTATGTGTACAGCTTTCTCGCATGCGTTCCAAGGAATAAAAGTCCAAGGGACTTCCAACGGTCTCTGTAATTTAGGTACTTGACTGTACTTATACATGCAGTGAAAGTTTTCTTTATATTCTCCAGATCTACAATTTCTCCTGCCTTGAAAGGGGCCATTAGTGTTTAACAGTTTTCCAACCTAGAGAGAACAAATGACTAAAGGAGGATCATCATAGGCTCTTATAGGTTCCTTTGTTCTACTTCTCGACAGTCAGAATGGTTTGATATGAACGGGCGAGGGAAAAAGAAGTGATAACATTTGGAACGTTCACTTTTCTCTCTCTGGCAGAATACAAGACAGACTCAACAAAAAGAAATGACCAGAAGTGACGTTCTACTCTTACCCTCCCTGATCTCGACGAACAGGAAGGCAAATGACTGCCGTTCTACAATCTTTCTGATGTGTATCAAACTGAATAACAAAAAAAAAAAATCCGTTTCTTGTTTTTCTTTGTATTGCCAAATGACTTCTTGAAAGGATCGTCCAAGACGCCATTTGGCAATAGCGTGTCATGTGTGTAGTGTGTCTCGTGTGTGTCACATGTATTGTGTGACACACCACACATGTGACACACACTATATATGTGACACTACACACGTGACATACATATGACACACTACACATGTGATATTATACATGTGATACACTACACATGTGACATTACACATGTGACATACACTACATGTGACACACTACACGTGACAAACTACATATGTGACACTACAATTGTGGCACTGCACATGTGACACTGCATATGCGACACTACACATGTGACACACTAAGCATGTGATATGCTACACATGTGACATACTACACATGTGCCAAACATGACACATGTACCACACACTACACAGGTGCCACATACTTTACAGGTGTGAGACAGGCAGGCGTCACACACGACACATGGTACCACGTGCATCACTGACAGGTGTTCATGCAGAGTGATGAGTGAGCGGAGGTGCTGTACCATCAGCAGAGACGTCAGAGGAGCCGACCTCCTGGGGCTTCATACATTTGCGTAGTCCACCTCGCATCTGTGCAAACAACTGCCTGAAGAAGTAACGGAACCTGCAACAAGGATGATACTGAGAACACGTACATGAGTACAGGATGTAGCTAGCCTCTTCCTCGTCGGATCGAACTTAATTACCTCTCCCTGTCATTCCAGAAAAGCTGTATCACCCCACTGGGCTTAGCACTTCCTCGAAAAAATATTAAGAGTAATGTGCTGTCTTGAAGCAAATTTCTGTATTATTATTGTGTTGAGTAATTTCAGTACTCATAATGTTGCTGATACAAGTGTATTAGTAATGTGTGCACTTCACATGCTGCAGACAGAGATGGCTTAATGTATGTAAAGTCACTAGAGCTTAGGATTTCTTTGACTTAGAAGAAAACTTAGAATATATTTGGCTTTGGATATGTAGTAAGTAGGAGTTAATTAACAGTTCATTCAAGTAGAAAACTCGTGCGAAACACATACCTGGCATTGAGAAGGTAGTAGACAATGGGATTGATCATAGCGTTGGACATTGCAAGCCAATAGAAGGCAAGGTACATGTGCTGAACGTACGGCTGGACACTGAGCTGAGGGTGGTGATGGACCAGAATGAAGTACACATGGTAGGGTAGCCAGCACAGAGCGAACACCCCGACTAGCAGCGCCAGCATCTGTACCACCTGCAGGAGACAAGGTTATTTCTTAGGCCTTCTAACACCAGTCCATAACATAGTCTGTGTGTGCTGTCGACGTTATATCCGTTTGTTGTCACATCCGTCGTGTTTATGCGAATGGTAAACGTCGTGGGGATTGTTTAAGTACGGAGGAGTGTACATGGAGAGGAATGTAAGTAGGGAGGAGTGTACATGGAGAGGAATGTAAGTAGGGAGGAGTGTACATGGAGAGGAATGTAAGTAGGGAGGAGTGTACATGGAGAGGAATGTAAGTAGGGAGGATTGTACATGGAGAAAAATGTACACGAAGAGAGATGTACGCAGGAAAAGTTATGCGTGAGGCAGCGCATACAAGAGGAGGAGCAAACAAGAGAGTACATACTGCAGATTACATGAGAATATGACAGAATAGAAAAACAGGAAGAGCAATGGATTACAACTGAAAACAGGGGAAGAGGACACTGAAAAGATATGCCGAAATATGTCTTAACAAAATAAAAAAATAAAGTAGCAGACAGCTGAAATGGGGTCTAGGAGAAGATAGGATGTGGATACTTTAAACAATTCTGTAATATGACAAACTAAACCTTGAAGACAGGACTCTACGAGCATAGAAATGCTCCTGTAATTACAAATAGATATTCACAATTACAGTAGTGTATGTAGACACAGGTCACCTGTCGCTTAGTGCTTAGTGTGTGGTCTAGATCCTAAAATTTCTGAGTTCGAATCCTGGATAGAACCAGATATATTGACAGGCAAGTAGGTAGGTGTCCAATGTCCATATATTTTTCTGTTCCTTTTCATTTAGCAGCTGTGCTAAATTGTTATCTGTTTACAATAATGTTTTTACCACTGAATATATCATTGCTTAGTTAATCTTAAGTTAATTTTTTTTTTAGCTGTATAGTCCTTGTGGCTTAGCGCTTCTTTTTGATTATAATAATAATAATTAAGTTAATTTTAAGCCTGCCCATAATGCTTTGCAAACAAGGGGCTTTGACATGTTGCACTGTAATAACTGTATTCCTTTGTACTTCTCTGTATCGTGTTCAAATTAATAAAAATAAAATAAATAAAAGAGAGAGAGAGAGAGAGAGAGAGAGAGAGAGAGGAGAGAGGAGAGAGAGAGAGAGAGAGAAGAGAGAGAGAAAGAGAGAGAGAGAGAGAGGAGAAGGAGAGGGAGAGGAGGAGAGAGAGGAGAGAAGAGAGAGAGAGGAGAGGAGAGGAGAGAGGAGAGAGAGAGAGAGAGAAGAGAGAGAGAGAGAGAGCAATGATCTGCTCCATGATCATTACAGCCCCACCAGAGAACAAAATAATTCAGTGTGCAATTACTGTGTAAATATAAATAAACTTGTATTACTGAAAAGACGTTCCCGTCGTGAGATCTTTTTCAGTCTATCGACCGAAACGATTCCTTAATAAATATCCCAGTACTACATATATGTCTTAGTGAGAGATGATATCAAATGTAAATAAGCCAGCGGGTCTGGTGCAACAAATGATATGACACTGACACCAGAGTCAAAGTCACAGTCAGGAAGCAGTGCTTGTACTGCTCCTAAAAAAACACATCGTGAGACGTTTAATTAAGCAAGCTTGGATTCAAGTTAAGGTAAATTTACCCTAACTTTTTCTTTACTTTTGGCAGACTTCCAGAGATAAATGGAAGCGTGACGGCATCTTTTTCTCGGTAATGGGCTGGTACTGTGTTCATGTGAATACTCTCCTAGTTAAAAGATATAACCAAATACATGTACCGACAAAAACGTAAAAAACGCATGTGCAGTACACAGGTTCAGCGTGTGGTAGGAATGACTGGTAAAATGCCAGCTTCATCCATCATTACTAACACAATCATCTCACGATGTTTGATGAGACCAGATTTGCTATTAATAAAGAACACCTTTGTAAACGTCGATGTTTGGAATTTGCTACTATCGCTGCCACCCGCACTATCGCCCAGGAAACAAGTAGTTTCCTCATCTCGGAAATTATAGTTAAGTTGATTCTACGCGGCTAAGACGCAGCAATCAGATGAGCAGGAAGCCTCGCTATGCTACACCTGACCTCACACTCTCTTGGTCACTTTATATTTTACCTCTGTATTGGTCTGATAACATTCTCCAGAATGAAACGTCAATATGTATTCTCTTACAGCACATGTATCTTATTTACACTTACCTCTTAAATGACTGCTATCAAATTCACTAATTTACATAAACTTGTGGGCTCTATCCTGCATGTTCTTTAAACTATTTAAGAAGTGCGCTTTCACCACTACTTCCCTTTGTCAGGTTATTCCACTGTCTGACTATTCGGAGCCCAAAGAAATATTTCCTGACTTTTTGTGGCCAGTTTAAGTCTCTAGCTTCCCGACCCCGTCTCTTCAATCCCTTTTAAATATCTTTTACATCATAATCGTTCTTTCCTTGCTTATTTGTTCTTCTAAGATTGTTAGATTTTCTAGTATTCGAATTCCCCTAAACTCTCTGACAAAATTTATTGCAAAGTCCTGAATTCTATCAGGTTTTTGAATATGCTTGACCAGGTGCTCACCTATTTGTACTCACCTATTTGTGGTTGCAGGGGTCGAGTCACAGCTCCTGGCCCCGCCTCTTCGCTGATTCCTACTAGGTCCTCTCTCTCCATGCTCCATGAGCTTTATCATACCTCGCCTTAAAACTATGTATGGTTCCCGCCTCCACTACGTCACTTTCTAGGCTATTCCACGGCCTGACTACTCTATGACTAAAGAAATACTTCCTAACATCCCTTTGATTCATCTGAGTCTTCAACTTCCAATTGTGACCTCTTGTGCTTGTGTCCCTTCTCTGGAACATCCCGTCTTTGTCCACCTTGTCTATTCCGCGCAGTATTTTATATGTCGTTATCATGTCTCCCCTGACTCTCCTGTCCTCCAGTGTCGTCAGGCCGATTTCCCTCAACCTTTCTTCGTAGGACAATCCCCGTACCTCTGGGACTAGTTTTGTTGCAAACCTTTGCACTTTCTCTACTTTCTTGACGTGCTTGACTAGGTGAGGATTCCAAACTGGTGCTGTATACTCCAGTATGGCCCTGCCGTAAATGGTATACAGAGTCTTGAACGAATCCTTACTGAGGTATCGGAACGCTATCCATAGGTTTGCCAGGCGCCTGTGTGCTGCAGCAGTTATCTGATTGATGTGCGCCTCAGGAGATATGCTCGGTGTTATACTCACCCCCAGATCTTTTTCCTTGAGTGAGGTTTGCAGTCTTTGGCCATCTAAACTATATTGTGTCTGCGGTCTTCTTTGCCCTTCCCCAATCTTCATGACTTTGCATTTGGCAGTGTTAAACTCAAGGAGCCAGTTTCTGGACCAGGCTTGTAGCCTGTCCAGGTCTCTTTGTAGTCCTGCCTGATCCTCATCCGATTTGATTCTTCTCATTAACTTCACATCATCTGCAAACAAGGACACTTCTGAGTCTATCCCTTCTGTTATGTCGTTCACATATACCAAGAACAGCACAGGTTCTAGGACTGACCCCTGTGGAACCCCGCTTGTCACAGGCGCCCACTCTGACACCTCGTCACGTACCATGACTCGTTGTTGCCTCGCTGTCAGGTATTCTCTGATCAATTGCAGTGCATTTCCTGTTATGTGTGCCTGATCCTCTAGCTTTTGCAGTAACCACTTGTGAGGAACTGTGTCGAAGGCCTTCTTGCAGTCCAAAAAAATGCAGTCGATCCACCCCTCTCTCTCTTGTCTTACTTCTGTCACCTTGTCATAAAACTCTAGTAGGTTTGTGACACAGGATTTTCCTTCCCTGAAACCGTGCTGGTTGTCAATTATACACTTGTTTCTTTCCAGGTGCTCCACCACTCTCCTCCTGATGATCTTCTCCATGACCTTGCATACTATACACGTTAGTGATACAGGTCTGTAGTTTAGTGCCTCATGTCTGTCTCCCTTTTTAAAAATTGGGACTACATTTGCCATCTTCCATACCTCAGGGAGTTGCCCAGTTTCAAATGATGTGTTGAAGATCTTTGTTAATGGCACACACAATATCTCTGCTCCCTCTTTAAGGACCCTCGGAGAGATGTTGTCTGATCCCACCGCCTTTGAGGTGTCAAGTTCGCATAGCAGCTTCTTCACCTCCTCCTTGGTTATATGTACCTCATCCAGCACTTGCTGGTGTACCCCCTGTTCTGATTTCCTGGAGTCCTACTGGTTTCCACTGTAAATACTTCTTTAAATCTCGTGTTGAGCTCCTGACATACCTCTCGGTCGTTTCTTGTGAATTCCCCATCACCCTTCCTCAGTCTGATTACCTGGTCCTTGACTGTTGTTTTCCTCCTGATGTGGCTGTACAACAGCTTCGGGTCAGTCTTGACTTTCGAAGCTATGTCATTTTCATATTGTCGCTGAGCCTCCCTTCTTATCTGTGCATATTCGTTTCTGGATCTTCGGCTAATCTCTTTATTTTCCTGAGTTCTCTGTCTTCTGTACCTTTTCCATTCTCTAGTACACCTAGTTTTTGCCTCCCTACACCTTTGGGTGAACCAAGGACTCGTTCTGTTCTTCCCATTATTTCTGTTTCCCTTGGGAACAAACCTCTCCTCTGCCTCCTCGCATTTTGTTGCCACATAGTCCATCATTTCTTGTACTGGTTTTCCTGTCAGTTCCCTCTCCCACTGAATGTCTTGAAGAAAGTTCCTCATGCCTGAGTAGTTCCCCCTTTTGTAGTTTGGTTTTTCCCACCCTATTCCTGCTACTCTCTCCACTTTGAGCTCAACTATGTAGTCGAAGCACAGAACCACATGATCACTAGCTCCCAGGGGCCTTTCATACATGATATCCTCTATGTCCGAACTACTCAAGGTGAATACAAGGTCCAGTTTTGCTGGTTCATCCTCTCCTCTCTTTCTGGTAGTGTCTCTAACATGTTGATGCATGAGGTTTTCCAGAACCACATCCATCATCTTGGCTCTCCATGTTTCGGGACCCTCATGGGGCTCCAGGTTTTCCCAATCAATCTCCTTGTGATTGAAATCACCCATAACTAGTAACTTTGCTCCCCCCATGTGTGCTCTCCTGGCCACCTCGGCTAGTGTGTCGACCATTGCTCTGTTGCTCTCATAGTATTCTTTTCTTGGCCTCCTGCAGTTCTGTGGTGGGTTGTACATTACTACAATTATCACTTTATGTCCCTCAGACTGGATTGTTCCTACTAAGTAGTCCCTTTCGCCCGTGCCATCCATTCCATCCATTTTCTCAAAACCCCACTGGTTTTTAATGAGCAGTGCAACTCCTCCTCCCCCTCTCCTCCCTCTGTCTTTCCTGAGGATTTGATATCCGGATGGAAAGATTGAATCTGTGTGTGTGTGTGTGTGCGTGTGTGTGTGTGTGTGTGTGTGTGTGTGTGTGTGTGTGTGTGTGTGTGTGTGTGTGTGTGTGTGTGTGTGTGTGTGTGTGTGTGTGTGTGTGTGTGTGTACTCATCTAATTCAGCTAATTGTGGTTGCAGGGATCGAGACTCAGCTCCTGACCCCGCCTCTTCACTGATCGCTACTAGGTCCTCTCTCTCCATGCTCCATGTGCTTTATCATACCTCGCCTTAACGCTATGTATGGTTCCTGCCTCCACTACATCACTTGCTAGACTATTCCACTTCCTGACAACTTTATGACTGAAGAAGTAGTTCCTAAGATCCCTTAGACTCGTCTGAGTCTTCAGTTTCCAGTTGTGACCCCTTGTTTTTGTGTCCGCTCTCTGGAACATCGTGTCTCTGTCCACCTTATCTATTCCACGCAGTATTTTGTATGTTGTTATCATGTCTCCCCTGACCCTCCTGTCCTCCAGCAAAGGCAAGAAGACTGGCGGTTATATAGGCGTCAGTGGATAAGGACGTGTAGCAGGCGAGGGCATAGTCACTGGTAGGCGGGATTCCCCAGTGGTCCTACCCTTTGGATAGGACCTACTTCCAGTGACTATGCCCTACCAGTGACTATGCCCTCGTCTGCTACACGTCCTTATCCACTGACGCCTATATAACCGCCAGTCTTCTTGCCTTTGCTCCAGATTCTCCTCCACCACGATGCTGTGAACACTAACTCCAAGGCTGAGGGACTGATTACCTCCTCTTTTGTATAGAGTTCTACTGTCTTCTAATTATGTCCTCGAATCTGTATTGATAAAACCACTGGATGGCGAAACGTCTACAATAAAGATATCCAGATGTTGCACATGTGTCTTAACTTTAATATTGTCGGTATTTTATACCTTTCTTGCACATCCTATCAAGGGATGCCTAGGCTCACTTACATCAAAGTCACAGTTGACGCCTGACCCTAACATGGTACTGCCTCCCCACTCACCTGACCTATTTATAATCCTGTAGCAATACGTTTTGTATCACTTGAGATAGCTCTGACCAGAGCGAAACCTAGACCAGACAAAACACGTATTCTTTTTAGTTTCTACTCAGTATGGTGTGATATTTACGTGTTTACATTCAGTGCTGCTGTATACTCCCAGGGCGAACCACAGACAAGTTGTACTGGCAGTTAACGAAGTCTGGCAGATTCCGAGAAATATGAATTATAAGATCACTCCTCCCGCTATTTTGCTGCTGCTACTGTCGTGGCGGCTTCCTTCCTCTGCCTGGTATTGCTGCTGCTGCTATTTTTTCTCCTGTTACTGTTGTTTCAGCTACTGGAGCAGTTAATGCTATTTCTGCCGGTGCCTTTGCTCTTCTACTTCTCCATCTCCTGATATTCATTTCTGTTCTGTGGTCTTGAGCTCCAGCTTCATTAAGGTAGTGCAACACTCCTCCCAACATACCACTCCTCTCCTCCCATCCAGCCTCCTGCTAAACTCGCATCGGATACTTTTCATGAGTCACTCTGGTACACATAATGATGAAGGGAGCATGATAACCTCTTACACCTATACTTTCAGAAACACTAACTTATCCTCTCTCACTCTCACTCTCTCTCTCTCTCTCTGAATATATAAATCACTTTCTACTTACTTTCCTCTTACTCTTAAAGTTGTCTGCCTGGCGAGAGGTTTTGAGAGAGCGAGTGTCGTACAGCTTGCAACCTGCCAAGCACAAATGTCAGTCAGTGGAGCAGGAGGAGCAGCAGAAGGAAGAATGGAAGAGGAGGAGGAGGAGTAGGAGGAGGAATAAGTAAGTTTATTCAGGTATACACAAATACAGCTAAATTATCATACATAGCAGCATACGTGTAGAAAACCCAAGATAACTAAAAAAAGGCAGATAGAATGACTTATTTCCATAGGGGTCCTTTTAATACATTATTATTATGCTATAAAGGAGATATCTAATTATTATACTATAAATAATATCTTATTATAATACTGTAAAAGAGATATACTAGGAATAAGGTAAAATGAGTTATTTACATTTACATGTGTGTTAGCTAAAAAAAATAGCTTTCTGTCGCTACATTCTTGGGCACCTTTTGGTTCTCTTCTTGAACTGGTTCATGCTATGACTGGCTTTGGCATGTACAGGCAGTCTGTTCCATTCCTTTATTGCTGTACAATAAAAGGTGTTTGAAGCCTGGCCACTGACTGTGGGTACTACAAAGTTGTGCTCTCTCCCCCTAGTACTATGATTGCTCTGGTTCCCAACCTTGACACAATTGACAGCAAGACATTCTGGAAACTGTTTGTGAGCAATTTTCTAAACTTGATTTAACTTCAGTTGTTTTACTCTGTCTTCAATATTCAGCATATCCAACTGTTGGTAGGTAAGACATAGACAACATTTAGGCAACATTATTCCGAAACGTTTCGCCTACACAGTAGGCTTCTTCAGTCGAGTACAGAAAGTAGGCAGGAGCAGTAGATATGTGAAGACGATGTAATCAGTCCATCACCCTTGAAGTCGTAGATTTGAGGTTGTCAGTCCCTCAGCCTGGAGAAGTTCTGTTCCAAAGTCTGGAACTAACTGAAGATTAAGCGACAGTGTTGAAGGAAGGAGAGGTGCAGAGTAGTAGTAGTCTTCACAGCTCTACTGCTCCGGCCTACTTTCTGCACTCGACTGAAGAAGCCTACTGTGTAGGCGAAACGTTTCGGAATAAAGTTGCCTAAATGTTACCTATGTGTCTTACCTAACAACCTGTCGGTATTGTATACCATTCTGATATTCACCCATATACAATTGTTATAATTCATCCTGGTCTACATGTTCTCTTGGACCCAGGTGTAGGATGAATCTTACCATTTTGTTCTGAGTGATTTGCAGTCTATCTTTCAGTTTTTTTTCCTCAAGGCAGAGTACCATGAAGAGCAAGCGTAGTCCATATGTCACTGTATAAGGGGATTCTCATATATTTTACAGGGAAAACTGAAGTGACAGATTCCCCATTACACCGGACATTAAAATTATTTGCCTTTCTCAGTTTATGTTTCGTCCCAAAGAGTATGGTTTCCGTTTTCCCAAGGTGTAACGATAGTTTGTTGTCTATTAACTATTTGCTGCAGGACTACAGCTCCAGTGTTATTACATTAGCTATATCTTGTGGGTCTTTACCTGACACTAACAGAGAACTGTCATCTGCATACAGTAGGAGTTTGCACTTGACACTGAAGGGCATGTCGTTTACATAACATAGGAATAATAATGGACCCAGGATACTACATTGGGGAACCCACATACTATCGGCAAGGGTTCTCATTATGAACCATACCACGGGTGGGGATAGAACCCGCGATCAGAGAGTCATGTTCTCATTATGTTTTGTTGATTTTGATAGTTCGTTTCCTGTTGTTAAGATAGGACTTAAACCAGTCTATGGAACCTATGCCGATAGCTTGAAGTTTCTTACATAATATATTGTGGTTGACAGTATCGAAGGGCTTGTGCAAATCTAAGGTTACCATATCTGTGAGGTTCCCTGTCGACATTTCGGTTTTCATGTAATCCATCAGATTAATTAGGGAGGTGTCGGTTGAGTAAGACCTCCTAAAGCCTGACTGGTACCTATGTCATTAAGGTACTTAACTACTTGATAGTACACCGCCCTCTCTAGAATTCTGGATATTACACTGAGTATACTAACAGGCCTATAGTTGCTGACATCAGACCTACTATTTTTGTTGTAGAGAGGAGTAACTCTGGCCTCCTTGAACCCCTCTGGCACGGTATTAGTGGTGATGGACAAATTTATTATGTGAACAATGGGGACTGGCAGTTCAGAGGCACCATCTTTTAGGAACTTAGACGGGATGTTATCAGGAGCGGTGCTCTTAGCTGGGTTTAACTTGCTTAGTTCTCTTTGCACGAAGTCATGAGATACACTTACTAGTTGACAACTGTTTGGGGTTACCCCTTTATTGGTATAGTATGTTTGAAACTTATCAGAGTCTTTGTTAAAGGTATTTGATGCAGCTGGTAGTTTACTTACTAGTGTTGATGCAACAGATGTGTAGTAGGAATTAAAAAAGTTTGACACTTTAGTTGTTTCGTGGCATACATCGTTATCGATATTTAGTACTATGTTAGATCTATCTACGGGTTTATGGCTATACCCCAACTGTTTTAGTAGCTGCCAGAGCTTTCTAGGGTTATTCATGTACTCTTCGATTCTTGAGCAATAGTGACTTGCCTTTGCTCCTTTTATAAGTGTCTGTACTCTGTTCCTCACCTTTGGAATTCATTTAGTGCTGCAATATCCTGTCTGTTTGCCTTAAATCTTTTTAGCAGCTGGTCTCTGAATTTCATATTATCTAATATCTCAGTAGTCATCCAGGGTTCAGTTCTCCGTTTAATCCTAACCTCTTTAACTGGTGCAATATTATCAAGGATGGTAGTGAACATTGTTTTGAATTTTTCCCAGGCATCATTTACGTCCGTGCAACTTGTTATCTCTGTCCAGTGTCAATTGTCCTGTGTGAGGAGGAAGAGAGGAGAAGGAAGAGTTAAGGAAGGAGAAAGAAGGTGTGAAAAGTGAGACCCTGGAGAAAGAAAGAGAGGTTAAAGGATGGAAAGAGAGGGAGTGAGAGAAAAGGAGAAAGAGGAAGGGAAAAGAGAGGGAGGAAGAAACTGAGTGGGAAGGACAAAATGAAGGCGAGGAAAGAGAAGAGAGAGGAGAGAGAGAGAGAGAGAGAGAGAGAGAGAGAGAGAGAGAGAGAGAGAGAGAGAGAGAGAGAGAGAGAGAGAGAGGAGGAAGGATAGACAGGAAACTAGGAGATAGACTAAAAGAGAAGAAAAGGATGAGGAAGCTTGGGTTGCTGGGGTTGGAAGTACAGGGAATGAGGAAAATGGAATGAGACAAGAAAGCGAATATAGGAAGAGACAAACATATACAGATACTTAGTGTATAATATATATATATAATATATATATAATATTATATATATATATATATATATATATATATATTATATATATATATATATATATATATATTATTTTTATTTTATTATCACACTGGCCGATTCCCACCAAGGCAGGGTGGCCCGAAAAAGAAAAACTTTCACCATCATTCACTCCATCACTGTCTTGCCAGAAGGGTGCTTTACACTACAGTTTTTAAACTGCAACATTAACACCCCTCCTTCAGAGTGCAGGCACTGTACTTCCCATCTCCAGGACTCAAGTCCGGCCTGCCGGTTTCCCTGAACCCCTTCATAAATGTTACTTTGCTCACACTCCAACAGCACGTCAAGTATTAAAAACCATTTGTCTCCATTCACTCCTATCAAACACGCTCATGCATACCTGCTGGAAGTCCAAGCCCCTCGCACACAAAACCTCCTTTACCCCCTCTCTCCAACCTTTCCTAGGCCGACCCCTACCCCGCCTTCCTTCCACTACAGACTGATACACTCTTGAAGTCATTCTGTTTCGCTCCATTCTCTCCACATGTCCGAACCACCTCAACAACCCTTCCTCAGCCCTCTGGACAACAGTTTTGGTAATCCCGCACCTCCTCCTAACTTCCAAACTACGAATTCTCTGCATTATATTCACACCACACATTGCCCTCAGACATGACATCTCCACTGCCTCCAGCCTTCTCCTCGCTGCAACATTCATCACCCATGCTTCACACCCATATAAGAGCGTTGGTAAAATATACTCTCATACATTCCCCTCTTTGCCTCCAAGGACAAAGTTCATTGTCTCCACAGACTCCTAAGTGCACCACTCACTCTTTTCCCCTCATCAATTCTATGATTCACCTCATCTTTCATAGACCCATCCGCTGACACGTCCACTCCAAATATCTGAATACATTCACCACCTCCATACTCTCTCCCTCCAATCTGATATTCAATCTTTCATCACCTAATCTTTTTGTTATCCTCATAACCTTACTCTTTCCTGTATTCACCTTTAATTTTCTTCTTTTGCACACCCTACCAAATTCATCCACCAATCTCTGCAACTTTTCTTCAGAATCTCCCAAGAGCACAGTGTCATCAGCAAAGAGCAACTGTGACAACTCCCACTTTGTGTGTGATTCTTTATCTTTTAACTCCACGCCTCTTGCCAAGACCCTCGCATTTAAATCTCTTACAACCCCATCTATAAATATATTAAACAACCACGGTGACATCACACATCCTTGTCTAAGGCCTACTTTTACTGGGAAATAATTTCCCTCTTTCCTACATACTCTAACTTGAGCCTCACTATCCTCGTAAAAACTCTTCACTGCTTTCAGTAACCTACCTCCTACACCATACACTTGCAACATCTGCCACATTGCCCCCCTATCCACCCTGTCATACGCCTTTTCCAAATCCATAAATGCCATAAATCCATATATATACAAAGTGAGACAGATACAAAGCGAGACACAGAGAAAGTGAGAGACAGTCATTTCGGGCTCTTTATACAACAAACCTTAGGCCCATCCTGGAGTATGCAGCACCAGTACGGAACCCTGACCTGAAAAAAATAGAGAAGGTGCAGAACTATACAACGAGGAGAGGCAAACGGGACTTGACCTAACGACAGTGGAGGACACAAGAACCAGGAAGTAACATGATAACAACATACAAACTACTCAGGGAAAATGACAAAGCATGGAAAGACAGGCTGTTTGAGAGGCGAGAAACGGGAATTCGGAGAAACCGCTGGAAGATGCAGCCACAGTTGAGCCACAGGGACGTGGGGAAGTATTTCTTCAGATTCCGAATGGTCGAGAAGCGAAATGAGCATGGTGATGGAGTGATGGAGGCAGACTCCATACATATAGTTTTATGAGCAGATACAATAGGGCCTACGAGGCTAAGAGAGAGTCAGTCTGAAGAGTTACTACATTTAAGAGGCAGAGGCAGGCAGGATAATCGACTTCTGCAACTACAAATAAGTGGCTACAAAAAAAAGTGAGAGACAAAGTGAGAGAGTAAGAGAGAGAGAGAGAGAGAGAGAGAGAGAGAGAGAGAGAGAGAGAGAGAGAGAGAGAGAGAGAGAGAGAGAGAGAGAGAGAGAGAGAGAGAGAGAGAGAGAGAGAGAGAGAGAGAGAGAGAGAGAGAGAAGAGAGAGAGGCACAAGTATGCTCACGCTTTGAGTATCCTCCACTTTCTTGGTTTGCCTGACCCCCCCTCTCATCTGCGACTGCTTGACAGAGCAAGACGTCTCATCTCTCGCCTGGGCCCATCCTGGATAGATCTGTCATTTCAGAAGAGCCTTCAACACAGGAGGGATGTGGGTGGCCTTACTCTTATGTACAAGGCCAATATTGTCAAAGTACCATACTTGAATCCACTTCGAGGACAGCGTGAAGCAAACTTCTATACCACAAGACGGGCAGAAAGCAGCAACTTCACTCTGGCTGTACCCTTCTCCAGAACATCACTTCATCTGAGATTACATATACCCAGGATGACTCGAGTATGGAACACATTCGTACAGCATTATGATGTCAACGAGATAAAGTCAATTGATCAAATAAAAATGCTGGGCCACAGATGGCTCCAACTTCATCCTGTCCCCTACTTGTATGTCTCATAACAATAAAAATACTTGCATGTTTCATAACAATAAAAACGCTTTCAAATAAGCTGATGTAGGCAACAGCTCTTAGCTTGTCAATAAAGTTAGGAATCCTTAACTCGTAAATAGCTTGTCAATAAAGCTAGGGATCCTTAACCTAACATTGTCAAACCCTTTGTAAAAGAGAGAGAGAGAGAGAGAGAGAGAGAGAGAGAGAGAGAGAGAGAGAGAGAGAGAGAGAGAGAGAGAGAGAGAGAGAGAGAGAGAGAGACAGACAGACAGACAGACAGACAGACAGACAGACAGACAGAGACAGTGAGACATACAAGGTAGTAAGATAGACGAAACGAATGACGAAGTGAGAGATACAAAGTGAGAGACACTGAGAGACACAAGAAGCTCACCTATAACAGCGTAGCAAACGATCATAGCAGTCATAGGCACTACGTAGGTCACCGCCAGGATTACCACATTGTACCTGCGAGGTCAACACAGGTCAGGTCAGCAAAGCGTTGAGCAGATCACTGCTAGTCTGGTCAGCGTGCTGCTGAACAGATCACTTTGTTAGTCTGGGCAGCTCCCTAAGTAAGTGATATATAGAGTAGAACACTATGCTGTCCCAGCAACACAGTCTGGATCAGTGATATGTAGAGACTGTCACAGTGGTTGTCTCAGTAAACTATCTCACTTAACACTCACAACAAAATAAGTTATTTATGAAACAGATTATTTCCAAGTATCATAGATAATCCTTGGTTAAGTTACACTGTATAATCTACTTCATTTGTAATCTTTAAGAATCAGTCAAGTATATCAATGTGACCGGCATAAGCTAATGTCTGAAGTATTTAAACTGATTATACACAATAACAAAATTTCACTTTTTTCTTGTTCCTGGGAAATAAGGATCATTTCCAAATTTCTTATAACTAAACAAACTTTAAAAAAGCAAATTTGATCCCAAAACTTTGCTTTTGCGGTCAGGACACTTCTGGAACACTTTCAAGAAGGACTGATGTAAAACTATTAGGTTCTAGGGTTTTACTTGGCAAATATAAAAACAGGGACACACAAACATGCATTCAGTTCAGCTCTGGCTACCTGAGAAGACACATCAGAAGAAGTGAAATGGCATCAAGAGGCTGCAATCATTCTCCTGATGCATTCTGCTACATATGTGGTCAATTCATTAAGACAAGAGCAAAGAAGTTCTCTGTAACAGCATCTAAAAATAATGTGTGAAGGTTACAAAGTATATTTTGGCATGACAGTTGTGGACCAAGACAAGACCTGGGCGCCTCGTGTTGCTTGTGAACATTGTACGAAAACATTGGAAGATAAGAAAGTCATTAGTTATATGAAGAGTAAATCTTGAATAGGAACATTGAAGACACTGCAAGGTTGCAGGCAGACATCATCCAAATCTTTAAATGGGCTGCCGAAAACAATATGAAGTTCAACGATGAGAAATAACTATTACTCCGATATGGTAAACGTGAGGAAATTAAAATTTCATCGGAATATAAAACAAATGCCAACCACACAATAGAGCGAAAAACTAACGTCAAAGACCTGGGAGTGATCATGTAGGAAGATCTCACCTTCAAGGACCATACCACTGTGTCAATCGCATCTGCGAGAAAAATGAGAGGATTGATAACGAGAACCTTCAAAACTAGGGATGCCAAGCTCATGATGACACTCTTCAGGTCGCTTGTTCTATCTAGCCTGGAATATTGCTGCACACTAAAAGCACCTTTCAAGGCAGATGAAATTGCTGACCTAGAAACTATACAGAGAACCTTCACGGCGCGCATAACTGAGATAAAACACCTCAATTACTGGGAACGATTGAAGTTCCTGAACCTGTACTCCCTGGAACGCAGGCGGGAGAGATACATGATTATATACACCTGGAAAATCCTAGAGGGACTAGTACTAAACTTGCACACGAAAATCACTCTCTACGAAAGCAAAAGACTTGGCAGACGATGCAACATCCCCCGAGTGAAAAGCAGGGGTGCCACTGATAATAAGTGTCAGGGGCCCAAGACTGTTCAACTGCCTCCCAGAATAAATAAGGGGGATTACCGATAGATCCCTGGCTGTCTTCAAGGAGGCACTGGTCAGGCACCTAAAGTCGGTACCTGACTAGCCGGGCTGTGGTTCGTACATTGGATTGGGTGCGGCCAGCAGTAACAGCCTGGTTGATCAGGCCCTGATCCACCAGGAGGCCTGGTCACAGACCGGGCCGCGGGGGCGTTGACCCCCGGAACTCTCTCCAGGTAAACTCCAGGTATGTAACAGAAACTAATTCATTTGTTCTTTTAGAGGATGGTATAGAGGTGAAAAAAAGCCATGAAGTTTATTGTTCCTAGAATATGGCGTCAACCCACTGATCACTCAACCAACTGCTACTTCTCTCTGGTGGATCCTTCCAAACACCGACCTGGGAAAAATGCACCTGCTTTTACTTATCCAGACCTTCCCTCTTCTATTGCACCAGTACTACACACTGCTGATCTTCCTGTACCTACACCTCCAGAAAGAAGTCAACCGTCAGAAGAAGAAAGCAGCAAATCAGAAAATGAAGATCACGGTGAACAAGACTATGATCTCACGGATGCAGTTGTTGGGAGGAATCCTTACTACCCAAAGCAAACAGACCTCAGTGACCTAATCAGAGATCTTGGTTTGACAAAGTCAAATGCTAAACTTTTTATTTCGGGGCTCAAGGAGTGGGACTTTGTGGATGAAAGTGTGCAAGTGACAAGCCAAAGAAAACGTCACCAACATTTCTCAAGTTCTTCACTAATGAAGACAGGTTGTGCTACTGTAATGATGTATCAGGAGTGTTTGACGCAATTGGAATTGCATGCAATCCAGATGAGTGGAGACTCTTCAATAACAACTCCTCCAGAAGCCTAAAAGCACAATGGGAACAAGGATACATCTCTTTCCCTTGGCTCATTCAGTGCATCTTATTAGGACTACAGCAGTGTCAGACTTCTACTGGAAACTTTGAACTATGATAAGTATGGCTGCCAGGTTACTGGAGACTTCAAAATGGTGGCATTTTTGATGAGACTCCAAGGAGGTTTTACCAAGTTTCCCTGTTATCTCTATCATTGGGATAGTAGAGACAGAGAACAGCATACCCGAGGAAGCATTAGCCTCAAAGGACTGAGTTCTCAACAAGAAGACATAATATCAAACATAAACCATTGGTGGATCCTCAAAAGGTTCTGTTCTCTCCATTACACATCATACTAGGGCTAATGGAACATTTTGTTACAACCCTTGACAAAGAATCAGCAGTCTTCAAGTATCTTTAAGACTTCTTTCCCAAGCTATCAGAGACAAAGGTGAAGGCTGAGAATTTCCAAAGAAGCTCACAGAGAAGGAAAAGGAAGCCTGGGAGAGTTTTGTTGCTGTAGCACAGGGCTTTCTGAGCAACAACAAGGCTGACAATTATGTGGAACTTGTTGAGACCTTGGTAAAAAGCTATGGTCAAATAGGCTGTAGGATGTTTCTTAAGGTCCATATCCTTGATGCTCATCTTGACAATTTCAAGGAGAATATGGGATCATACTCAGAGGAGCAAGGGGAGCGCTTCCACCTAGATATAATGGACTTTGAACACAAATATCATGATGGGAGACTACATTTGGGGACTTAAACGGGAAAGTGATTTGTTGCATGCTCGCAAATCTAGAAAAACTGCTCTCTTTTAAATTTATAAATATGTTTCAGAAATTTTAAAATAAAATTTGTTTAAATTTTATTTTACTTTTTGTAAATTTTGTTTATTTAATTATATGTTTCTGTTTTACATCCTAAACTAGCAAAAAAATATTGAAATTTAGCAATTTTTTGTCAAAAATTCATCCTGTAAGTCACAAAAGCAAAGTTTAAAAGGAATAATGGGCATTTTGCATTATTAAAATCTCTAGTAAGGCTGATGCATGCAGGGGATGAGCTGAAAAGCTGTAAGCCTTCTCCCTGAAAGCTGGCTGCCTTGGATCAACGTCTAGCGCAAGCTGGACGCCAAGGTATTGGTCCAGTGTGGTGAGAATGGTATAGCACTGCGTACCTTGTTCCAAGGTTCGAGTCTCCTTCAGCCAGAGATCAGTGTTTATATATATATATATATATATATATATATATATATATATATATATATATATATATATATATATATATATATATATATATATATATATAACATTGTCTCTATGTCTCACAGCAGGACTCGAGCCTGCAAACTCTGCATCAGAGTCCACAGTACTTTACCACGGAGCTAGACCCAAGATAAGTATGGGCGCTTAGCCGAAGCTAAACGATGTTACCCCATACCCGGGCACCAAGCTCGTTTTTGATGAAATAACTTTCAAAACAAGCTTAGTGCCCGGGGGTATGGGGTAACATCGCTTAGCTTCGGCTAAGCGCCCATACTTATCTTGGGTCTAGCTCCGTGGTAAAGTACTGTGGACTCTGATACAGAGTTTGCAGGCTCGAGTCCTGCTGTGGACGTAGAGACAATGTTTTATATATATATATATATATATATATATATATATATATATATATATATATATATATTTATATATATATACTAGGCCTTTCGTGTTGCAATCAACACACCATCAGGAGCTTGCAAAATTGCAGAAATGAGTAAGTATTGTTAGTAAATTCGTTCCGAGGGACGCCTTGCTGAGACTTAGGGTGATGGAGGTAAAACATTCAGTACCCCAGGCACAACAAGTGCCTAGTGCCAGGCACAACAAGTGCCTAGTGCCAGGCACAACGAGTGCCTAGTGCTAGAGAGAATAAGTATATTATAAGCAACAGAGAAAAATCAGCCCATAAGCAAAAGGTAATTTAGTGATTACCCAGCAAAATTAACATTGGTAACATGCTAGTTATGAAGATTATTGATCGGACTTAAGAAATATAAAGTACTTTATATTCTGAATAAAACTGCGTCTTGCAATTTGCTTTTGGGAAAATTTCACAACAATTTAAAGAAAACGTAAATCTAAGGCAAACTCTCCTAGTGGGTAGACACAGATCGAGCCACACTAGGAAGAGGAATCACCCTAGTTCCTATTCGTGGAACCCTGACATGTAAAGCATTCATATAATAATCAGGTTTCAGATTGTGCATGATAGCCTCAGTTATAAATGAATAAAGCTTAAATAACCCATCGCTACCATTAAATAACGAAAGTTTATCGTGTTTAATAATTGCAGACTCAAAAATATTTCTTTCTAGCCATGAAGTATACATGGGACAGTCTCTTTTTCCTCAGCCCACTTGGCATGATTATTACAGACTCGTTTATGGCTAAATATTGCACTAGATTCTTGAGCTGTCCTTACTGACTACTGGTGTTGAGTGAGTCTAACATTTAAAGGTTCGCCCAATTGCCCGACATACGAAAGAGTACATCCTTGACACCCAATCCTGTACACACCACCTACGCCATGGTAGGGTTGGGTAGTTTTTGGTAGGGTAAATTTTTTAAGGTTCTTTTGGTACAAAATTATTAATTTTTACATTAACATAAATGGAAAAATATATCTTTAAAAGAGTTCTTGCTAACTGACCAGATTTACCTTTTGGCACGACATTATATATATATATATATATATATATATATTATATATATATATATATATATATATATATATATATATATATATATATATATATATATATATATATATGTACATGTATGTGAGTGCCTACTTACCTATTTGAGGTTGCGGTGTCATTTCACAGCTCCTGGCCCCGCCTCTTCGCTGGTCGTTACTAGGTCCACTCTCTGCTCCATGAGCTTTATCGTATCTCTTTTAAAACCTGTGAATGGATCCTGTCTTCACTACGTCACTCTCCAGATTGTTCCACCTCCAATTGCGACCCCTTATTGCTGTGTCCCATCTCTGAAACATCCTGTCCCTTTCCACCTTTTCAATTCTTCTCAGTATTTTATATGTCGCTATCATATCCTCCCCTATTCCTCCTGTCCTCCAGTGACATCAGGTAGATTTCCCTTAATCTACCCTCGTAGGACATAGCCCTTAGCTCCGGGACTAGTCTTCCGGAAAACCTTTGAAATTTCACTGATTTCTTGACGTGCTTGATCAGGTGTGGGTTCTATACTGGTGCTTCATACTTCTTACTTCATACTTCTTGAACGATTCCTTACTCAAGTGTCGAAACGCTATTCTTAGGTTTCCCAGGCTCCCATATTCTGCAGCAGTTATTTGGTTGATGTGTACCTCAGTAGGTGTGCTCGGTATTATACTCACCACAAGGTCATTTTCCTCAAGTAAAGTTTGCATTCTTTGGCCTCCTAGCCTGTACTCTATCTGCGGTCTTCTTTAACCTTCCTCAATTTTCATGACTGTGCACTTCGGGGGTAAAACTCCAATAGTCCTATCTGATCCTCATCTGCTTGAATTCTCAGCATTAGCTTCACGTCGTCTGCAAACAGAGACATTTGTGAATCTTTACCTTTACTCATGTCATTCGCATATACCTAAAACAGCACTAGTCCTAGAACTGACCCCTGTGGAAGCCCGTTCGTCACAGGCGCCTACTCTGACACCACATCACGTACCATGTCTCGTTGTTGCCTTCCTCTCAGGTATTCTTTGATCCATTGCACTGCCATTCTTTTTATACCTGCCTGATCCTCTAGCTTTTACACTAATCTTTTGTGTGGAACTGTATCGATAGCCTTCTTGCAGTCCAAGAAAACACAGTTTACCCACCTCTCTCTTTTGTCTTACTGCTGTCACCTTGAATCCGTGCTGGTTGTCGTTTATAAGCTCATTCCTTTCTAGGTGGTCTGCCACTCTTCTCCTGATAATCTTCTCCATAACTTTGCATACAATACATGTCAATGACACTGGTCTGTAGTTTAATGTTGTGTATCTCTCTTCTTTAAAACTGGGACTACATTTGCTGTCTTCCATACCTCAGGTAGTCTCCCTGTTTCGATAGACGTGTTTGAAGTTTCATGTTAGTTGTACACAGAGCGCCTCTGCTCCCTCTTTCAGGGCCCACGAAGAGATGTTATCCAGCCTAATCACCTTTGAGATATCTAGTTCATTTAGAAGCCTCTTCACTTCCTCCTCGGTTGTATGTATCGTGCCAAGCACTTGATGGTGTACCCCACCTCTCTGTCTTTTTGGAGTCCTTACTGTCTCCACTGTGAATACCTTTTTGAATCTTATGTTGAGCTCCTCACATACTTCAAGGTCGTTTCTTGTAAGTTCCTCTCTTTCCTTCCTCAGCCTTATTACCTGGTCTTTGACTGTTATTTTTTTCCTGATGTGACTGCACAACAGCATGTTAGACTTGGCTTTCACTGCTATGTCATTTTCATATTGTCATTGGGCCTTCCTCCTTACCTGTGCATGTTCAATTCTTGTTCTTCGACTACTCTCCTTATTCTCTTGGGTCTTTTGCCTTCTATACTTCTTCATTTCTCTAGCGCACTTGGTTTTAGTCTATACCTTTGAGTGAACCAAGGGCTCGTCCTGGCCTTCTTATTATTTCTGTTACCCTTGGGTACAAACCTCTCCTTCGCTTCTTTGCATATTGTTGTGATATATTCCATCATCTCATTTATTGATTTCCTTGCCAGTTTTCTATCCCACTGAACCTCATGCGGGATATTCCTCATGCCTGTGTAACCCCCTATCATGCAGCTTTGCTTCATTCGTACTACCCATCCTGCTTCCCTCTCCATTTGTAGCTCTACTATGTATTCGAAGCTGAGAACCAAGTAATCACTAGCTCCGAGGGGATTTTCATAAGTGATGTCCTCAATATCTGCACTACTCAAGGTAAATACTAGGTCAGTCTATCTGGTTCATCATCTCCTCTCTCTCTGATAGTGTCCTTAACGTGTTAATGCACGAGGTTTTCCAGTGCCACCTCCATCATCTTAGCCTTCCACGTTTCTGGGCCCCCATATGGCTGCATGCTTTCCTCATTTAATTTCTTTGTGATTGAAGTCACTCACAACCAGTAGCTTTGCCCCTGCCCACATAGGCCCTTCTGGCCACTTCAGTCAGTGTGTCAACCATGTCCTGTTACTCTCATCATATTCTTATCTTGGCCTCCTGCTATTCTGTGGTGGGTTATAATGTGGTTGCTGATGCTCTCTCTAGATGTTTCATGTAGATGAATGGAGTATGGTTTGTCATAATGTTTGTCATGTGCTAACCTTGTTGTTTTAGCAGTGGTGAACTCTCGGTGAACCTGAATGCTCCTTACCAGTCATCCATACATCACTGAATCACCACTTTGGGACCTCCAGTCTGAAGTGTTCCTATTATGTAGTCCCTTGCTTCTCTGCCTCCTCTATCCAACTCCTCAATATCCCATTGATTTTTGATGAGCAGTGCCACTCCTCCCCCCCCCCACCACCTGTTCCCTCTGTCTTTCCTCAGGATCTGATATTCAGTTGAAAAGATGGCGTCTGTTATCATTCCCGTTAGCATGATTTTTGTAAGAGCTATTATGCCTGGTGATGCCTCTGTGATTCTTTCGTGCCAGTGCTCCCACTTATTTATTATTCCACCAGCGTCGGTGTACCATACCTTCAGTTTCCTTTCCAACACTGTATTCAGGTGGGTTTGTGGGGGGGGGGTGGGGGGCCTGGCAGGGCGCTATGGGATTCTACTGCCTATTGTGGGGTGGGGGCTGAGTGTGTGGAGTGGGGTTTGTGTTGGAATAGTATGTTTGGCTGCTGGGTTCTGAGGGTTTGTTCTGTGTGTTTGCGCACGTTGTTCCACTCGATTCTGGTTGTTCTGTACTGACTGTAGCCTTGTCTCTGTTTCTTGCCCCTTTCGTGTGTTTGTGCGTGTGTGTACTCACCTAATTGTGGCTACAGGGGTCTATTCATAGCTCATGGCCCCACCTCTTCACCGGTCACTACTAGGTCCATCCTCTCCCTTCTTCATGAGTTTTATCCTACCTCTTTTTAAAGCTATGTATGGATCCTGTCTCCACTACATCACTCTCCAGACCGTTCCTCTTCCTGACAACTCTATGACTGAAGAAATACATCCTAACATCCCAGTGACTCATCAACTTTAAATTGTGACCCCTTGTTGCTGTGTTCCATGTCTGAAACATCTTGTCCCTATCCAACTTGTCAATTCCTCTAAGTGTTTTATATGTTGTTATCATGTGTCCCCCATTTCCCCTATCCTCAGTTATCGTCAGGTCAGTTTCCCTTAACCTCTCTTCGTAGGACATACCCCTTAGCTCCGAGGCAAGTCCTTTTGCAAACTTTTGCACTTTCTCTAATTTCTTGATGTGCTTGACCAGGTGTGGGTTCCACAGTGGTGCTGCATACTCCAGTATGGGCCTGACGTACACAGTGTACAGAATCTTGAACGATTCCTTACTGAGGTGTCCGAACGCTATTTTTAGGTTTGCCAAGCACATAGCTGCAGCATTTTAATTGGTTGTTTTGGGCCCAGGAGATGTACTGGGTTTTACACTCATCCCAAGATTCTTTTCCTTTGTGAGGTATGCAGTTTCTTTGTTTTTCCCCAATCTACTGACTTTGCACTTGAGGTTAACCCCGGACCCAAATTTCTGGCCCGGGCTTGCAGCCGCCCTGATATCTTTGTGTTGTGGTGTGTGTGGTGTGTGTTGTGTGGTGGGGTGTGTGTGTGTGTGTTGGTGGTGTGTGTGTGTGGGGTTGGAAATTTTTGGTAAATAAAGATGGACAATATAGACACAAATGTATAAGAAAAAAACATTACGGGGTTACACTAATCCTTTTTGAGACAGGGAAAGGGCCCCGTCACCCCAGGGATAACGCAGATGACCCGGCCCCTTGGCTGTATAAAGACAAATAATAGATAAAAAATACACAAATAGGGGGCGAACGGCCCCTTTCCTTTTAATATGGGATAGTTTGGGGGTAGGTTTGTAGAGAAAAACCCTTCAAAAAGTCCCTTTTGACGCAAGAAGGGCTCTTGATCAAAATAATTTTAGCTCCCTTCCCCCTTTGGATAAAACCTGTTTCTCACCCATACCAAGGCGAAAAGAAAAATTTTAAGGTTTGCATCTCGCTCTGAATAAACAGTAAATACATGTGTTTTAGTCACTGTTGAACTGAGAGAGTTACCCAAAACTCCAAAAAATTTTAGGTTCCCCGTACCCAATGTGTAAGACTTAGTACTGTACCTCACTGTCTGTAAGAAGCTTTAAAACTGTACTTTGTGCCGTAAGAGCGTGTACAGTTTTCACTGCCTGTAAGAGGCCCAGTTGACCACACTGCCTGTATGAGGCCGTTGACCTCATTTTCGTAAGAGGAGTATGTACCCCCGTGCCTGTAAGAGACCTGTATTGTACCCCAGCGCCGTGAGGCATAGAAAGCACCTCAGTATTGTAAGGGCCTATACGCAGCACCTCACTGCCCAAGAGGCCTATACTCACCTAAGGTTTACTGGGCCAATACTGAAACTCGTGCTGTAAGAGGCCCAGTTCTTTCCCTAAACGCTGTATGAAACCTGTACCTGTACCTCCAAATTAAGAGACAGAGGCTGTGGTCAATTCCCTGAAAATCAAAGGAGTTAAACCCAACAGTTTAACACTCCCGGGGTTTGGAAAACGACTTCGTAAAGAGGCTAGGAGCTGGAAATTTAACTCATCAAGCATTACTTAAATTTGAGATCAAACGGGGTTTTAAACCCTTAGACACTTCCCCGGAGCTGGAATTTGATATAGCTTTATAAAAAACTGTGAAAATTTGGCACCATGAAAAAAGAAGTGGGTTTTGAAGTGCGCTTTTGACTCTGAGGTCCAAAAAGCTGCAGCTTAATACTTTCCCAAAAGGGCCCCCCCAAACTGAAACTCAAAACTGTCAATCGCAAAAAAAAAAAAATCACTTTTTCAGATGATATCCCCAGTGAATGACGAGAAATTAAAAACCGGAATGTTGAAACGTGTGAGAGCAAACCTTTACAAAAAACAAACTTATGGAAGTTTTTTTAAGGGGGGATGCGGGTCCAATAAAAAGGCTGCTCTCCTGTGTATTTTGCATTGACTTGAGACCTGGGGGTGGGGAAATAAGTGTCTGCACCTGAAGATGGGGGATGTTGTGACTTCTCGCCAGGCTTACTGAGTGAAAATGGCGAATGTGTTTTCCCTTTTACCGTCCCCCCCTACCTGAGTGGAGTGTCCGATGTGGTAAAATAATAATAATAACTATAATAATAATAATAATAATAATAATAATAGTAATAATAATAATAATAATAATAATAATAATAACAAATAATAATAATAATAATAATAATAATAATAATAATAATAATAATAATAATAATAATATTATTATTATTATTATTATTATTATTATTATTATTATTATTATTATTATTTTTTTTTTTTTATTATTTGTAGTAGTAGTAGTAGTTGTAGTAATAACAGTAGAAGTAGAAGGAACAGTAGCGGTGGTAGTAGTAGTAGTAACAGCAGTAATAGTAGTGGTGGTAGCAGTTGTGGTGGCGGTGGTAGTAGTAGCAGTAGTGTGGTAGTAGAGTAATAGTAGTAGTGGTAGTAGTAGTAGTAGTAGGAGTAGTAGTAGTAGTAGTAGTAGGAGTAGTAGTAGTAGTAGTAGGAGTAGTAGTAGGAGTAGTAGCAGTAGTAGTAGTAGTGGTAGTAGTAGTAGTAGTAGTAGTAGGAGTAGTAGTAGTAGTAGTAGTAGGAGTAGTAGTATAGTAGTTAGTAGTAGAGATTAGTAGTAGGAGTAGTAGTAGTAGGAGTAGTAGTAGTTAGTAGTAGGAGTAGTAGTAGTAGTAGTAGTAAATGGTAGTAGTAGTAGTGTAGTAGTAGTAGTAGGAGGTAGTTAGTAGGAGTAGTAGTAGTAGTAGTAGTAGTAGAGTAGTAGTAGTAGGAGTAGTAGGATTAGTAGTAGGAGTAGTAGTAGTAGGAGTAGTAGGAGTAGTAGTAGTAGTAGTAGTAGGAGTAGTAGTAGTAGGAGTAGTAGGAGTAGTAGTAGTAGTAGTAGTAGTAGTAGTAGTAGTAGTAGTAGTAGTAGTAGTAGTAATATGAAGTAGTAGGAGTAGTAGTAGTAGTAGGAGTAGTAGTAGTAGTAAGTATAGTAGTAGTAGTAGTGGAGTAGTAGTAGTAGTAGTAGTAGTAGTAGTAGTAGGAGTAGTATAGTAGTAGTAGTAGTAGTAGTAGGAGTAGTATTAGTAGTAGGAGGAGGAGTAGGAGTAGTAGGAGTAGTAGTAGTAGTAGTAGTAGTAGTAGTAGGAGTAGTAGTAGTAGTAGTAGGAGTAGTAGTGTAGTAGTAGTAGTAGAGAGTAAGTATTAGTAGTAGTGAGTAGTATAGGAGTAGGAGTAGTAGGAGTAGTAGTGAGTAGGAGTAGTAGTAGTAGTACTAGTAGTAGTAAGTAGTAGTAGTAGGAGGAGGAGGAGGAGGAGTAGGAGTAGTAGTAGTAGTAGTAGTAGTAGTAGGAGGAGGAGGAGGAGGAGGTTGAATTGGGGGAAAAAAGGGATTTAAAATTTAATAAATTGGGTGGGGATAGTTTTTAAATTTGATTTTAATTTTAGTGTGAAGGTTGTGTTTGAAATGTATGAAAAGTATGGGAGTAGTTGTTTAGGATTTAAAAATTAAAAATTGGAAAATTTTTGGGGGGGGGTTTGGGGGGGTAGTGGGGTTAGTTAGTGGTAAGGGGGGGTTTTTTATATAAAAATTTTTTGGAGTGTGTGAAGTTTGGATAAAAAAAGGGTGTGGTTTTAGTTTTTGGGGGTGATGGGTTTTAAAAAGAGTTGGAAGGGGGTAGTTTTAAGGGTTTGATTTTTTTTTAAAAGATTGATTTTAAATTAAATTTAAAAGGAATTATTTAAAATTTAAAAGGTAATAAAGAAGAAGTAGGAGGGGGTTTTGAAGGTGAAAGGGGTTGAATTTTTGGGGGGGTTTGTGTTTAAAATATTTTTGGGGGGGGTTGTAGGAGTTTAAAAAATAGAAATGTAGACTTATTGGGGGGAAAGTAAAGGGGGGGGGGGGGTTTTGTTAGAAAATTAAAAAGGAGGGGGGGGAAAGGATTTTATAAAATTTTGGGTTTTTAAAATATAGGGGGGGAAAGGGGGGTTTTTAAAGAATAGTTGGAAATAAGTGGGGGAAGGGGGGGGGGGGAAGGGGGTGTGTTTTTTAAAATTGGGAAAAGGGGAAAAATAGGGAGGAGTGAGTTTATGGTGTAAGTTTTAAGGAAAATATGTTTTTTAAGAAGAGGATGTGTTGTAAAGGTTTGGGGGGAATTTAAGTAGAGTTTAAATTTTTGGGAAAAAAAAATTTTTTGGGTAAAATTTTATTGGATTAAATGTTTAATTTATATGTAATGGGAGTGTATATGTTTTTGTAATTAAAAATTTTTAAATAGTAGAGGATTTAATGTGTGAAAAAAAAAAAAATTTGCAACATTTGGGAAAAATTTAACTTTTCTATGTCTTTTTCCCAATTTTTTTTCTCTTTTTCTACGAAAAATATTCTTTATTTTGAATAATGTATTTAAAAAGACAGCAAACTTAGCTGATCCAGAGTGTTAAACCCGCAAGAAGTTTTAAAATTTTTTTAAAAGTAAAAAAGGGGGGGGGTTTTTAAAATTTTTTAGAAAAAATGTAATTTTACCTTTTGTAATGACCCCGATTGGGGGAAATTTTTTGGTTGGGTTTTTAATTAAAAAGTTTTATTTTATTTTTAAAAAGAAAAATAAACCTTTAATTTTTAAAAAAAAAAAACCCTGGAAATGTACTCTTTTACTTTTTGGGGATCCCTTTCCCACACAATCTTTTTAAAAATTTTTCTTTTTTAAAACCAAAAAATTTTCTTTTTTCCCCCAAAAAAATTTTTTTTTATTTTTTTTTTTAAAAATTTTTACATTTTTTTTTTTTAAATTTTCAAGTTTTTTGGGGGGTCGGGGGAAAAAAAAAACGAAAAAAATTTTTTTCACCCTTAAAGTTTTGAGGTGGTCAGTCCCTCAGTCTGGAGAAGAGCATTGTTCCAAAGTCTGAAACAATATGGAGTTGAAGTGACACTTCAACTCCATATTGTTTCAGACTTTGGAACAATGCTCTTCTCCAGACTGAGGGACTGACCACCTCAAAACTTTAAGGGTGATGGACTGATTACATCGCCTTCAAGTCTCTTCTGCTTCTATCAACTTTTCTGTACTCGACTGAAGAAGCCTACTGTGTAGGCGAAACGTTTCGAAATAAAGATACCTAACTGTTGCATATGTGTCTTATCTAACAACCTGTCGGTATTTTATACCATTTTAATGTTCAGTAAGTTTTGATACTACACTTGTTAAGCCAGGTAAAACTTCACTTGAATTTAATCACTCTAAACTGAGAAAACACAAATGCTGATGGTCTCTAGGCACCATGATGGTAATGCTGGAGAAGTGGGAAGAATGAATGGGAGAGTTTTGGTGCCCGGGAATGAGGTTGATATCCTTGGAGTGAAGTTTAAATTCTAACTGGCTATGAAAAACCACATTGTAATTCGTGCAAACAAGGCGGCCAGGAAACTAACAGCACTTGGATATATCCTGTATCTCCTCGATAGCAGAGGCTGCAAGAATGTACGATGCACAAGCACGCTCATATCTTGAGTATGCTACACTTTCTTAGATTTCCTGAACCTCCAGTGCCATTTACTACTTCTTGACAGAATAGGGAACAGAGCAAGACGACTGTTGTCTCATCTAAACCCGGCATGGATATATGTTTTAATTCAGCAGAACATTTAACACCGGAGGAATGTGAGTGGCCTTTCAGTTGTTATGTACAAACAACTGACTGGCAGTAAACAGCAATTA